CGTATGGTCGTTGAGCGTTCACGGCTCACATTTTGGAGGATGGTGATTTGTGGGTCGTCTAATGGTAAGGGGAAATGTACACGGGTTGACTGGGGAAATCGTTGAGTCGCAGAGAGAACTAGCCGAGTTCAATCTAACTGATCGTACTTCTTTCGTCGAATCGCCGAACCTCCAGATCGATAAGTGTACGTTCCTTCTACTGAAATCGATAAACCTTCCGAAATCTGAGCCAGAAGCCTCACGAAATGTTGAATTTTGGTCGCCTGGTCTTGCGCCGCCCGTGACAAAGGGTCACACACCACATTCCTTCTCGCACACGTCCCTTTTCTTCCATTCAATCGAGAAGGATATATTTATGAATGGAGCTCAAGTTTGGAAACAAGCTTGTAACTCTCATCTTATCAGGAAAGGATGTAGATCCAAGCAGAGACGGGCGCAGTTGGGTGCACGATGCTATCGATGACTGAACACGGTGAGTAGATCGCCTATGCCGTGTGACCGATTTTAAAAACTCACAATCCCCCCCAAGTATCCCCTCCCTTCCCACCCCCCAAAGATCTTTCATGACGTCGGCAGTGTCAAGTGAGTCGAGGTTCACACCGACCACAACGGCACACGTCATATCTCACCAAATCAACCCATATCGTCGAAGTCTATGACTTGGTAGGAAAGGAAAAAACTAACATGTGAAAACTTACAATTCGCTGTGAACTTTGATTGAGGTACACCTCGATCCGGCCAATTTTCCCATTGATAAGTGGTGGACAATTGAAGAAGCATCCTTGCCGGTATCCTTATCCTTGTAATCCAGCTTGAGTTTGGTAACACGAACAAAGTAGTCCTCTTCGGACATGGGAGAAACCTTAATGTTATCGAGCCGTTAATTAGCTTATCAAGGGCTTGTTTTGTTCTTTGTGTCATTAGGTGAAAATCTTTCTGGAGACAACATATTTCACCTTATCTGGCCAGGACGGTACTGCCACTACTGAAGAGATCCAGGTTGTTGAAAGTCTGTTTTTTTTGAACAAGTTTAGGGAGCCGCGCGCAAATGGTGTGGGAGTGCGTAAACTTTCAGAGCTATAGTTCACCCCTTCTCAAGTGAAGGCACTTCCCGAAACGGAGCCAGTAGACAACTACATATTGTTCCTCAGACTAACCTAAACTCATTGATTACTGATGAAATTATTTCGTGATATCCATGTTTTGTGCTTTCACCCAGATCCACGAATGTGTGGTGAGACAGCCGTGCTCGTAATACGCACCGGCCCCAAGCGGCCAGAAAAGTTGAAACGCGCGTTATCGACGTGTCTAATTGTAAGGACAAACGGTACGTTGAGTTGTAGGTCGCAGAAGGCGAGCATGTTGGTTGTAAAAGAAAAAAGGTATTACAAGGAAACGGGACAAGGCGCATTTGCTGTAAAAGGTGCGCATGAAGTAGCCAACCAGGGCCTTACTCGCGGCTGTGGCTGTCCACGCCCACCCACAGGCTACCTCACCTGTCTTACCGTCTCAGCAGAGAGACAGAACAATTCGTTCAAAATGGTGACGTCCCTGCAGATGAAGCTCACATAGTGCTGAGATCAGAGAGCTAACAAGGGTTCCGCTCTGCGGGATCATTCCCCTTGGCTTTTTGCGGGGAGAGGGAAAGGTGCAGCAAAGAAAGGGCTTCAGACCTCTTTTGTGCTCCGCCTTGGTCTGGGTTTGCGTAACGCTGAATCAGTCAGAACCTGGAGTTTCTTATCTTGATCGTGGCTTTCGGGCTAACACATGCAAATGACCCTTACTTGGTTGCCGGCTCGTCCATTGTTGGAGGTCGACCCACCAACAAAGAGGTCCTATTTAGTGGATTCTCTGCTTTTTTCATCAATGGAATTATTTAGCACCCCACTCCCAATACAAATCCAAATAGATGCTATCGCATTCCTTCGCTTTACTCACATCCAAATTAGTTACAGTGATTTTCCCTTCGTTATCTTCTCCAAATGTCATCACCTCGCCAACTTCATGTGGCCAGTACTGTTCGCACTTGTTCCTATCCTGGAAGAGCTGCGTTAGATGTATGAATTGTAGACCTTAGTAGTTTCATACTATAATAATCGGCAGCACTGCACTATTGTTTAATTTAGTAAGGTGAAATTTTATTATTCAAATATGGTGGTGAACTGACGCATTGATAGTATTAGCACAACATCGAACAGTATTCATGCCTTTTCGTGAATGAACCATTGCCCAAACGCTCATTGATGACCGAGAAGGGTCCCTTAAGAAAAAAACGAGTACGAAGGAAACCATCATATAATGCTGGCAAGATCAAGTTATTTCGTCGCATAGCGTGAACACGCGACGTACCTCAAGTAGTTGTATCTTTTTGGTTATTCACTCGAAGCCCGGTTAGATACGCAGCGCGCGAGTCGCGTAAAAGACCCCGCCGTGCAGATCTGCACTTTGCGGTGCATCTACAGAACAACTGCAATCTTTCCATAATTGTCATTAGATATGTTTGATTACGAAATTTCATTCGTCTCAGCAGATCTGGCACCAGCTGGCGTAACCTTGCCCAGACTAGACCAGGATTTGGTGTAAACTTCTGTATAGGGGTTGTTGGTGCCTACGAACACGATATTCCTTTTTGGCATTAACATTGCTCAACGCATATTTCTTCGGTTAGGAAGGGGCACCGACAGCGAAGCACGAAGTAGGCGTCAAACAGCCCAGCGCGCCAAGTAATGAATGTCATATTCGTAATCAGGCCCCAAATAACCCCTAACGGAAGTTTACACCAAATTTTGGTGGAAAACAAATGTCGTGACAAGGTGACGCCAACTGGCGCCAGATGGCGCCAGCGCCAAAAATGAAGGTCTTTTCAGGATAGGGCACGAGATGACATCTATATGGCCAAATCAAAGTTGCCGGAGTTTTAAGTAGTGCACGAATTACACTCACGAACGGAGGTGTTTTACGGGCATATCGGACTGCAGCAGAATCTACGGAAACTAGCTGTATATTGATAACTTAGTGTGTGGCGAGACTGCGTTGGAACACGACCGGAGCCCGCTAGCGAGCAGACACTGAAATACACGGAGGAGAGGGCGGGGGAGGGCAAAAAAAACATATCGTCTTCTTATTCAAAACAGAGATGGAAACAATTGCTAAAATTCAAGCAATGTTTTCAATCGAATTTGCAGAACACATTCCATCTGACTCTGGGGTGACTTCCCTAGTGTGGATGACATCAGTAAATCTAGCAATGGAGACACGCGCGGATCGAGCGCAACGGAATCATGCAATGAGCGGTCCATGGTGGATTAAAAATGTGAGTAATTGCGATGCATAGCTTATATCTTGACTTTTAATTGGCGTACAGCTCCCTTGAAAGAATCGTTCTGCTCGTGCTTCATATTGCGAGAGGCATCGAGGCTACTGATCGCTCTATTATCTATCAGGTTCCTTGTTTGATTGTCTCTATCGACACTTTCACCAAGAAGAGCAGATTTCAGCCAACCATCAGCCGAGGATCGTTAAATCCTGCTGCATTCACTGGCAGGCCTGCGTGACATCGCAACTTAGGCAATATTTCGTTTTCTCGCGCATGCGCAATCTGGCGTCAGGATCATTCCCACTGGTCGCATCCAGATATAGTCGTAGGGAGGTTTTTCACAAAATGGTCTGGTATGTTATTTCGATAGAGTCCTTAAGCTTACAACTCTCATTTCGAGTTTCATACTTCTACCGTATTTTGCCAAGAGATGGTGAAGAAGGAGAGCAACACGAAGGGAAAGCTGCAAAACACATCGTGACATAGATTTTGCCCCCTAAATAAAGCAACAAGCTGTCTCACAGTTCGATTGCACAAGTAGCAAATAGCAAATGATAATCAACAATATAATCTGCTTTTCTGTGCACAGAACAACGTCAATGTCACATGTTGCACATATGTGTAGACACCATTCACCCAATGGACATTACTAAAACAGGTTTTGCTGTCATGTGAATCGGGTTCACTATACGATCTCAGAATCGCCTGCTACGGTTCCGTCGTTGAGTACAGGAGCCTGCTTCGAGTATGTGACTTCTTTCCTCCTTGGCAGTTCTGCTCTTATTACAGTGTGTCCATTAAGGGAAGGACTTTGTTTTCGGGTTTTTGATGCTCATTTAGCGTAGCAACGCAGCATTGACTTGATTACCCGTGAAGCAGCCTAAGCCTCGATCACTCAAAGAAAGGCTATACACAAAATATTGCTGCAGAAATTTGATCGCACAGCTTCTCAGAACCACTTACATATGTTGCTGTTTCTATCACGCAAGCAGAACGAAGGGAAGGCGAAGAGATGGAAAAGGGACGCAAACCAATTTACCAAAAGGAAGTTACTAGTACATACTTAGTTTATAATATGATCACTAAGCAACGGTACGATCTCCAGAAAGGTGAGTGGAGGGCAAATAGAAGGCCATATCGTACGCTGGAAAAATAGAGCTCAGCGGCTACTGATCAGCCACTGGCACGCTTACATTTTCATTTTCACTTACATTTTTACAAATCAAGTTATATCGGTAGAGAGTCGTTCTTGTTTCGATTCCCAGCAAACACGTTTTCTGACGCAAATGGGGACCATAGCGGCCACGCCAAAGAAAACGCTCCTGTTTCGCGCATTCAAAAAGGCAAAACCCCGGTAACATCTAGTTTTTAGACCAGGAAGACTAAATTCGTGTCGGTTAAGAGTGGGATAACATTCTACTGATACTAATTTTTTGTAAGGAAATACCTGAGTACAAATGAAATGGTTATCTTTGCTAGGTGTGGCCACATAGTTTGCATGAATATAGTCGTTATCGATTCCTGGCCATTTCAGAACGACACGACGTGAATCTTGACAGGGGACATCAGTATACCTGTAAGAATTCACTTTATTTATACCTCTTCCTTTCCTTTCAGGTCAGAGGGTTCCTAAGGTTCATTGTTTCGCAAGACTTCTTTGTAGTTGACTGGAACGAACTTCAAAAAGTTTTATATTGGACGACGTTTTGGGCCGTAATCCCTATTTCAGGTCTTATATGAACCTAACTAGTCAATTACAAAAAGAAATCCGGTTTGAGGGAAGCGGATCGACTCCGCTCAGTTCGTGAATCGCTGCAAGAATGATAAATGAATGATATGAAGGAGATGTAGGAGAAAACGTAGGGAACCAAGCCAGATGGGGGGGGAGGGGGAATCACGGTGAAATGGTGGCATTCGTTACTCTTCAATTTACCATCCGTCAAAAACTCATTGCAAAGCTTTGAAATGATGACTACGTGAGGGATGGTAGACTGAAGAGTGTCGTATGCTATCATCTCACCTGATCCTCTCCCCCCCCATCTGGCTGCTCTAATTCTTCCCGCGTAAGAGCAGGAAAGGCTGGTCTCCTCTCGTTTTCTTCCACAGCTCTATCCCGGGTTTCCCCAAGAGGCCCGTCGCGCGGCGAAGGAAGAGACGCAGACGCGGCAAAGGACGAGTCGCAGCGCATACTGTAGCGGTTAGGCGTCAGGTTAAATAGAGTGTACCATACTACGTCTCATATCGCACAGCACGCGCTGCGACTCGTCCTTTGCCGCATCTGCGTCTCTTCCTTCGCCGCGCGATGGGCCTTCTTGGGGGACATCCCTTTACCCCATCGTTCTTACGCGATTCATTGTCTCAGAGGAGCCGATCCGCTTCTTTCGACGCGGACCCCCTTTTGAAATTGGTTAATTGCTGCCCGAAACGTCGTCCAATAAGCTTTTTGAAAGATCTTCCTCCCAATCAACTAGTACAAAGAACTCTTTCTTTCCTATTATAATCTACAGTGCTA